TAACCCCTGGATATGGAGGATGATTCCAGGGGTGTAGAGAGTTTAAAGTGAGGGTAACCCCTGGATATGGAGGATGATTCCAGGGGTGTAGAGAGTTTAAAGTGAGGGTAACTCCTGGATATGGAGGATGTGGAAATGTAAATATAAATTTGTGTATTGTATTACATAAAATTGTTAGTGAAAAAGTTGTGTTTTGTGTTGCAGTTTCAGCCATATTTGCCGTATGAGTTTACAGAGGAGGGGATGCTTCAGAGGATGAATGCCTATATTGAGCATCAGAATTTCTGCGAATTTCAAAAACGGCCAGCCAAATGGCCTCCGAGTTCATCAATCAAGTTCCTGCTTGGTGAACCAGACAAGTCCTGTCAAGATGTGTGCTGGTCAAAGAGTAAGAAATCAAATTAATGTCACGAAATTTTATCTCCCCTGACCCAAAAGGCCAAGTGACAAAGATACTATAACTAGACAAAGATAATGATATATCTAATATAAGTTGTAAAAACTTGTTTCGCAATTATTGTAAAATATTTATATATATATTTGAATGATTTTTGAAAATAAAACCCAGGGACCTATAGTGTCAAGGTTGTTCCAGTGATGGACATTAATTCTCTTTCAAGGTTACAAAGACCAAATGTAAAAAGAAATGTTAAGTTGACTTTTGCTGCATATTTTGGCCAGTAGCACGCTGGGAGGAAGGGCTTCAAAGTTAGATCAGATGAATGACCTTGACCTGCTTTTAGTGTCACAGGAATCAATTGTGTTAATCCTTCTAAAAACTTCTTCAGAATAACCAATAGGCCTATGATAATAATAATTCAAAGTGAAAGACCTTGACCCGATATTTAGAAATGAATTACCTTGACCCTTTATCAAACTTACATCAGTAAACTGAGTTAAAATCTTCCAACAAAAGTTCAGAGAGTTTGGAGTAATGATATTTAAACCAATAAGTGCTGAAATTACAGCTTGGCCTTGGATCCTTTCCCATCCCAGGGGTAGGGGCCCTGTATGGAAAATGTGTCATAACTTGTAAACAGTCAAGATCCCCACCCTTTACTCATATATCATGATGCTCAGCACTGTTAGACAAGTATGTCCATGTCACAAAAAGTTGGACTGGGATCTGTTCTCATGTCTACAATATGACTGAATCAGAATGAGATCCTGACCCTATAACAATTAAGATAAGACATACATTCATGCTACCAGGACTGGCCCTTGGTCTGTCCCAGCTCAAGGGGACTTCCTCCTTTGGTCATAACAAGGAAGCAGATGTGAAGTCCTCTTTATGATGATATATACAATCAGTATCGGGGCACGAGAGACAAATGCACTATAGCTACCATGATTTGCTCTGGGATCTGTCCCATACTCTAGCTACCATGATTTACCCTGGATCTGTCCCATACTTTCGCTACCATGCTTTTCCCGGATCTGTCCCATACTCTAGTTACCATGATTTACCCTGATTTACCCTGGGATCTGTCCCATACTCTAGTTACCATGATTTACCCTGGGATCTGTCCCATACTCTAGTTACCATGATTTACCCTGGGATCTGTCCCATACTCTAGTTACCATGATTTACCCTGGGATCTGTCCCATACTCTAGTTACCATGATTTACCCTGGGATCTGTCCCATACTCTAGTTACCATGATTTACCCTGGGATCTGTCCCATACTCTAGTTACCATGATTTACCCTGGGATCTGTCCCATACTCTAGTTACCATGATTTACCCTGGGATCTGTCCCATACTCTAGTTACCATGATTTACCCTGGGATCTGTCCCATACTCTAGTTACCATGATTTACCCTGGGATCTGTCCCATACTCTAGTTACCATGATTTACCCTGGGATCTGTCCCATACTCTAGTTACCATGATTTACCCTGGGATCTGTCCCATACTCTAGTTACCATGATTTACCCTGGGATCTGTCCCATACTCTAGTTACCATGATTTACCCTGGGATCTGTCCCATACTCTAGCTACCATGATTTACCCTGGGATCTGTCCCATACTCTAGTTACCATGATTTGCTCTGGGATCTGTCCCATACTCTAGCTACCATGATTTACCCTGGGATCTGTCCCATACTCTAGAGTCCATTACATGTCCTGGGATCTGACCCATACTCTAGTTACCATGATTTGCTCTGGGATCTGTCCCATACTCTAGCTACAATGATTTACCCTGGATCTGTCCCATACTCTAGTTACCATGATTTACCCTGGGATCTGTCCCATACTCTAGTTACCATGATTTGCTCTGGGATCTGTCCCATACTCTAGCTACAATGATTTACCCTGGATCTGTCCCATACTCTAGTTACCATGATTTACCCTGGGATCTGTCCCATACTCTAGTTACCATGATTTGCTCTGGGATCTGTCCCATACTCTAGCTACAATGATTTACCCTGGATCTGTCCCATACTCTAGTTACCATGATTTACCCTTGGATCTGTCCCATACTCTAGAGTCCATTACATGTCCTGGGATCTGACCCATACTCTAGCTACCATGATTTACCTTGGATCTGTCCCATACTCTAGTTACCATTACATGTCCTGGGATCTGTCCCATACTCTAGTTACCATGATTTCCCCTGGGATCTGTCCCATACTCTAGTTACCAGGATTTACCCTGGATCTGTCCCATACTATAGTTACCATTACATGTCCTGGGATCTGTCCCATACTCTAGTTACCATTACGTGTCCTGGGATCTGTCCCATACTCTAGTTACCATGATTTACCCTGGGATCTGTCCCATACTATAGTTACCATTACATGTCCTGGGATCTGTCCCATACTCTAGTTACCATGATTTACCCTGGGATCTGTCCCATACTCTAGTTACCATGATTTACCCTGGA